AGACAGCGAAGTTGGCCTTGCACCCCTACCCAATTGGTAAATAAATTGAAATATTTTAGCGAAATTTAGTTAATGGATTTCGTAATGTTTAATGGTAATAAAGTTGCTTAACTACTTACATACATCAAATGTGTAAGCTATTTTCCCGCTCGTACATACATGTGAAATGTAATAATTAAGGGGCGGAGTACGCGTCGCTGCCGTGGTACGTCTGTGGGAGACGACCTNCATAAGCCACAGAAAATAGCAACAAAACAACGGCAAAGCAATGAAAACAGCAACAAAAACCGAGAAAAACTGCACACGCACTCGCACAAATGCCAACAACGTTCATCGGACAAAGACGGCGATGTGAAATGGGTGAGCGCAGTCAGAAATTCTTTTAATTAGTTTTAATTGCAGTAAAATTGTGAAAAAACGCGGTACAGTAAGCTGAATTTTACCTATTATTTGGCGAAATTCTAAAAAATAAAGTTACGTTTCGCGAAGAAAGTTAAATTCGGGCTATGGGCGTGTGTGACTGCATAAGCGACTAGCTGGCAGCTTGAAAATTTTAGACAGCGAAGTTGGCCTTGCACCCCTACCCAATTGGTAAATAAATTGATATATTTTAGCGAAATTTAGTTAATGGATTTCGTAATGTTTAATGGTAATAAAGTTGCTTAAGTACGTACATACACCAAATGTGTAAGCTATTTTCCCGCTCGTACATACATGTGAAATGTAATAATTAAGGGGCGGAGTACGCGTCGCTGCCGTGGTGCGTCTGCTGGAGACCACCTTTTTTTCGATGGTTGTATCAATAGAAGGTCTCGTCCTTGGCGAATAACTGGTGGTAAGTTATGGACGCTGTGTATAATTTTTCGAAGCTTGGTGTTTGAATACAAACATATTTTTCTACTAATCATTTTTTTTTAAGGTGAACGGTTTAACTCATGTTTTTCGATGGTGGTGGTTTATGCTCTGTTCTTAAAATTTTTTCTGTATGGAATATAAATATTCAATTTTGTTTAATATTTTTATCATGGAATATACTAAATTTGGAAAGCTCGGAATGATAGGAATTGCAAGCTAGACATTAGTTACGTACATATGNACATATTTTTCTACTAATCATTTTTTTTTAAGGTGAACGGTTTAACTCATATTTTTCGATGGTGGTGGTTTATGCTCTGTTCTTGAAATTTTTTCTGTATGGAATATAAATATTCAATTTTGTTTAATATTTTTATCATGGAATATACGAAATTTGGAAAGCTCGGAGTGATAGGAATTGCAAGCTAGACACTAGTTACGTACATATGTACATGTATACTTCAACCTGCTTGCATGCCCATATGAACGCAATTGTATGTAAAAGTGGGAAAAATCGATAGCTTCTAATATAAAGTTTACGACACAAGCAGTATTTATTTAGCTTACTTTTGCTTGAAAACTATGTTGCGTACAAGAATCGTGGTTGTATGAAATTTTTCTAAAGCATACAAAATTCGAAAGACTTCAACGGCGTTACAAACTCTGCCCTTGGTCCTTGCATTCTACAATTGAGAATCAACCCTCTAATAAGGGTGTAATTTTGTATGCGTTTAGGGCATATGTATGTATGGACGTACATATGGTAGCTATACATTCACTTCTATTCATTTTACTATTCAGCTACGCGCAGTATGTGTTTTTACTTGGTGTTGACGTGATCAACATATCTCTTTGTTACAATTAAAAACTGAACGCTTTTGCTGGTTTTGTTATCAGCACTTGAGGTGGATAACTGCTTAAATTGCGCGAGTTGTTGTGCCTGCTGCCGAGCATAGATATGTATATTGAGTCATATTAAACTTATACATAATAAAATATTTTTTATTGTATGTACTTTTTTTCTAATAACAAAGCATTGCATTTTGCTTTATTTTCTATTTGAATATGCTTAACCCTTTTCGGTCATACGCGCANCAACGGCGTTACAAACTCTGCCCTTGGTCCTTGCATTCTACAATTGAGAACCAACCCTCTAATAAGGGTGTAATTTTGTATGCGTTTAGGGCATATGTATGTATGGACGTACACATGGTAGCTATACATTCACTTCTATTCATTTTACTATTCAGCTACGCGCAGTATGTGTTTTTACTTGGTGTTGATGTGATCAACAAATCTCTTTGTTTCAATTAAAAACTGAACGCTTTTGCTGGTTTTGTTATCAGCTCTTGAGGTGGATAACTGCTTGAATTGCGCGAGTTGTTGTGCCTGCTGCCGAGCAGAGATATATATATATATATTGATATATTAAACCTATACATAATAAAATATTTTTTATTCTGTGTACTTTTTTTCTAATAACAAGGCATTGCATTTTGCTTTATTTTCTATTTGAATATGCTTAACCCTTTTCGGTCATACACGCATATGTATGTATGTATGTATATATGCTTGTGTTTATTTATGCGCATACTTTAAGGCAGCGCTTCCTAAAGTGGGTTCCGCGAAATTAATTTTGATATGGATAAGCACGGCGGTCGGTTTGAGTTGCACACAGAATGAAAAGTTCTGTAAAAAGCCTGACTGGGACGCAATTATCTATTTTCAAGTATACATATGTACCCGTAGTTAGTATCGTTGCTTTGTTTGTTGTAACCGGTATGTGTTGTTGGCCGCTGTTGCCAAAGGGTTATATACAACTTTCTACAAGGAACGCGATGAATTGCCAAATGAAATGTGAATTGTCATAACTGGGCACTTGGTAAATCACTTGACATCTTTGTCAGAGTATTTTTCGGATGGTACAAAATCCATTTACGAAGCATTCATAGATCTTCAGAGTACGTCGCCATTGAAACACACATTTGAAGTTGTGTGTCTGAAAGAGTTTTGTATTAATGTTAATACCATGGACAGACATCTGGTATTTCTTCGTAGCTTTTCCAAAATACCATATGTCTGTCACCAAATATTAAAATACTCTTCGAAATACTATGTGAGCAACCTTGTATTATTTGTGGAAGGAATACAAATTTCCGATGGTTGACAGATAGCAGCTGCTCATTTATCAAAAAATCATTGAAATTTTCGGGCGATTGAAGCCAAAAGTTTATACCGCAAGTTTTGATGCAATATATAAGCAATTTTCGCAATACTTTTGCATTTTTATGTTTATGTCTTGTTCTTCAGATACATATTATTGGACACTGAAATACTAATTAAATGTCTGTCACTATGGTAGTATTTTAAATACAATAAATTTACCAGAATGCAAATACCAGATGTGTGTTCCCGGTA